CTGGGACTATAGGCACATGCCACCACACCTGGCTAATTAAAAACAATTTTTTTTGTAGAGACGAGGTCGCTCTATGTTGCTCAGGCTGGTCTTGAACTCCTGGCCTCAATTGATCCTCCCACCTTCGTCTCCCAAAGTGCTGGGATTACAGGTTGGAGCCATCATGCCCAGCAAAGTCAGGCATCCTGGCCAGAATTGTAGCCTGCTCTTGAACACTAACTACATTAGGGAGTTTCGGTGCCTGACAGATACTAGGCATTGTTGAGGGCTTTGTATAAGTCCTACCATGTAATTCTCCTAACCACAAAACAAAAGGGGGATGTTTATTCCCAATTTAGAGATGCAGAAATCAGGAATTGAGGCTCAGCAAAGTTAAGTAACTAGCCAAAGGACACACAGCCAGTGAGTGTCAGTGTTGGGAGCTGAGCGCGTATCTGTCCGGCTTTCCCTTCAGGAAGAAGGAAATGTGGGGAGAGGACTGGAGAGTCAACCTCGGAGAGAAAGCAGCCAGCATGGGGGGGAGGGGTTAGAGGGAGAACAAGATGTTCTCACTGGATGAAGCCCAGCAGGGTCGAGGCTGGAGGAGGTGTGAAGTGGGAAGCACAGGCCGGGGAGGTGGCCCCAGGAGGTTATGGGTGAGACCCCAGTTTTCTGGGGGGGGGAGTCCTGCTCAGAAGCTGGATTGCAAAGCACCCACCAAGCAGTGAGATGTGGAGGTGCCAATGTCACATGTCTGCAAGATGTGGAGGTCCCAATGTGACAGAGAGCTTCTTTCTGGACGAAACTTGAAGGGGAAAAGAGGACCCTGGAGAAGGTGGAGACCCGAGCCTGTTGTGTCAAAGGGGAAGGCAGCCCGGACCCGAGCAGAGGGGGGCTGCGTGTGAGCGTGTGCGTGTGGAGGGTGCAGGGTGTGTGTGCAGAGCATGGGAGGGCTCTTCTCAAGGACGAGGGGCCCTCTTTTTCCAAGACCAGGAGAAAGGAGGATGAATGCACAGAGAAAGGTGGGTGAATGCACAGAGAAATTCTTAGGCAGCAGAGGTGACAGGGTGACTTGTAAACGGGGACTCCCATCTTTGTCCTTCAAACCTCCCCATTGTAAAGGGGCACGTGTGAATTTCCTAGGGCTGCCATAAAAGAACACCACAAACCGGGTGGCTTAAAGCAAGAATTTATTGGCTCACACTTCTCAAGGCCAGAAGTCTGAAATCAAGGTGTTGGCAGGGCTGGCTCCTTCTGGAGCTCTGAGGGAGAATCTGTTCCAGATCTCTCTTCTAGCTGCTGGTGGTTGCCTGTAATCCTTGACGTTCCTTGGCTTGCAGAGACCTCCCTCTAGTCTCTGCCTCCTCCGTCTTCACATGGTATTTTCTCTGTGTCCAAATTTCCCTCTTGTAGTAAGAACACCAGTTACCGGATTAGGACCCACCCGGACCAGCATGACCTCATTTTAACTTGATTACATCTGCAAAGACTGTATTTCTTTTCTTTTCTTTTTTTTAAGACAAGAGTCTCACTCTGTTGCCCCGGCTAGAGTACAGCGGCATGATCATAGCTCACAGCAACCTCCAAACTCCTGGGCTCAAGCGATCCTCCTGCCTCAGCCTCCTGAGTAACAGGGCCTACAGGCTCACACCACCACGCCTGGCAACTTTTTTCTGTTTTTAGTAGAGACAGGGTCTTGCTCTTGCTTAGGGTGGTCCTGAACTCCTGGCTTTAAGGAATCCTCCTGCCCCAGCCTCCCAGAGTGTTAGGATTATAGGCATGAGCCACTGCACCCGTCCAAGAGCCTATTTCTAAATAAGGTCACATTCACAGGTACTGGGAGTTAGAACTTGAGCATAACTTTTGAGGGGACACAATTCTACTCAGTACAGAGCACAAAGGAGATGGTATGTGGGAATGTACCCTAAAGGGTATAAAATGCTACAGAGGCCGGGCGCGGTGGCTCACGCCTGTAATCCTAGCTCTTGGGAGGCCGAGGCGGGCGGATTGCTCAAGGTCAGGAGTTCAAAACCATCTACTATAAATAGAAAGAAATTAATTGGCCAACTGATATATATATAAAAAATTAGCCAGGCATGGTGGCGCATGCCTGTAGTCCCAGCTACTCGGGAGGCTGAGGCAGAAGGATCGCTGGAGCCCAGTAGTTTGAGGTTGCTGTGAGCTAGGCTGACGCCATGGCACTCACTCTAGCCTGGACAACAAAGCGAGACTCTGTCTCAAAAAAAAAAAAAAAAAAAAATGCTACAGAAATGCAAGGTTATGGCCAGGTGTGGTGGGTCACGCCTGTAATCCTAGCACTCTGGGAGGCTGAGGCAGGAGCATCACTTGAGGCCAGCAGTTCAGGACCAGCCTGAGCAAGAATAAGACCCCATCTCCACAAAAAAATGTAAAAATTAGCCAGGTGAGGTGGTGTGCACCTGTAGTCCCAACTATTCAGGAGGTTGAGGCAGCAGGATTGCTGGAGCCCAGGAGTTTGAGATTGCAGTAAGCCACTGAATGAACTCCAACCTGGTTGACAGAACAAGACCCTGTGTCCAAAAGAAAAAAAACAAGATGTACAAAGTCACACCAAGGTCACTGGTTAAGAAATCCTAAAATTGAATATGTTTACAAAGTAAGCTGTCTCCTCCAGGATTTACATTTTGTGTGAACCCAAGAGTTTCCAATAAAGGGTTTGCTAAAAGTAATGTCCACTACTACATAGCCTTTGGGAGAAAGCACTCGTAACAAATGGGCTTCCTAGGAAGCCTTCTAGGGAGGAAATGCAGACACACATACCTGCTCCCCATCATCCTCTTAGTGGTTACTGGGAGACTGTCTCTCCTTCCTGCCCCCTTCTGTCTCAGGCGTCCTTTAGATCTGGGACTTACAGTTGTTTCTAACCATAAACCAAATGAATCCCCAACTTTTCCTCTTTTCTCCTCCTCCAACTTCTACCTTCCTCCCTCCACCTAGATCTCTCATTAATCCAGCTAAGAACACAGGTTCCAGTCCCAGGTGTGTCCTGAAGGGTGAATGCCTTGTGGATGGTTTGGGCTCCATGCTTTCCATGAGAGAAGTGGTGCCCAGAAGAAGGAACCATTTCTCAGGAGCCGGGGAGCCTGTCTGGGACCTTGGCACTGTGCAGTAGCCAGCCTTCCACCCCCTCAAACCTTCCTTGCTCAGCCACAGAAGCCCAGACTGAGCAGGGAGACACCATCACATAGTTCAGTTGGAGTCACCTTGTGTCATGCAGGTCTTAAAGAATTTGATAAAGCTATGGGGCCCTATCCCAGAATACACAAATACGTAAATACCCACAAAAAAAGTGGAGATCATTTCAACAGCTTTACTGACACCCCTGCGTTATTCATGAAGCCAAGGCTAAGAACCTCTGATCTAATCCACTCTCCCCCTCCATTTTCTCCTGAGAACACAGACCAGCAAGGGTAATTCATTTGCCCCACCTTGTGTGGCCAGAGTGGGGTGCAAATTCTGGTCTTCTTGTTCTAACCACGATATAGAGAGTGTGTTTCCATTAAATAAGAGGGACTTCTCCCCTCCCCCTCAAAAAGCAGAATATCTAGGAAGGCTTTGCTTTTGGGGGAAGAGAGAAGTATGGGTCCGGGTAACAGTGTGGGTAGAAAAAGCCAGGAGGCTGGAGATTTGTCGGAGAGAGGCACTCATTCCAACACAGATGTTTGAAAGGGACCTGGGATCCCACTCCACACCAGGAGCACAGTGGGGTCACTGAGATCAGGTAGGGTTCCAGCTTTGAAGGACTTTGCCCCCCAGTCAGGGAGGTGAGTAACATGTGTCCACAAGGGCTGTAATGGAAGGCGGAAGACGTTCTTGGGCTTGAAGCCTGCGTGTAGATGCTTTTGAGGTCACCAAGGGAAGCCGACGATTCCCCTCTTCCTGAGACGCTCATGGGAGAGCACCTCTCCTGCCAAACAGAACAAGGGCTCCACCGCAGACCGCCCCCCCCATCCAGCCACACGATGTTGCCCCCTGCCAACGTCAACTCCTTTAGACTCTGGGGACCAGTTCCTCTCAAATGCTGGTGAGGGAAATGATCCTATTAACCGAGTCTGGGGGATTTTATTGGGAAATTGTCTATACAAGAGCTTCTTGGAGCTGGGAAAACCTCGCAGATTGGGGAAGGTCTTAATTTGGAGATGTCCCAGTTTGGGGAAAACCTTCCCCCCTCCCCATTTGTCTCCAGGCTTTATTTTGGAGTTCTCAGAGTGGGAGACCCTGGACTGGGGGCAGGATCTGTATGAGGGGGTCTCCAATAGCTTGCGGGCTGGCCGAGTGCCTAACTCCGCGCCCCTCACCCCGGCTGCGCCTGGGCCTCTGGGGACCGGGCGAGCAGGCCGGCGCCGCGTCCCCGCCTAGCGGGCGGGCCGGGGGCGGGAAGGCGGGGACCCTCCCCTTCGCCCATCCCCTCCCGCGGGGCCGGCCGGGGGAGGGGAGAGGGGAGGGACGGGCCGGCGGCGGCTGGGCCAGGGCCATGGCGGAGCGGGCGGCGGCCGCGGGGCCCCGGTGAACCGGGCCGGGGCGCACGGGGCCGAGGCGGCCGCCTAGCCGGGCCGGCGCCGTCGGGGGCCTGGCCGACCCAGCCCTCGCGACTTTCCCCCAGGAGTTGTAATCTTGCTCGGGGGCGGCGCGGGCCCGGCTTTCGGGGCGCGTTTCCTCGCGGGGCCCGGCGGCGCGCGCGGAGGGGGAGGGGGAGCATGCCCGGCTGGAGCCGGGCCTCGGGGCGCGCCCCGGCCGCCGTCCCCACCTCCGCCTCCTCCTTCTCCTCCTCCGTCTCCTCCTCCTCTTCCAGTCCCGCCGCCGCCGCAGCCAACATGGCTGCGCTCCGGAGCCCGGGAGGCGGCCGCTGCTGAGCGCCGCCGCCGGCCGGGCCCGCCCGCCCAGGCCCGGCCCCGGCCCATGGCCCCCGCCGCCGCGCGGCTCCCGGCGCGCTAGGGCTGCGGCCAGGCCCCGCCGCCCTCGGGCCGCAGCCGTCCGCGGGCGGGCGGCGCGCCCGCCCATGACCCCAGCGCCGGGAGCTGCTCGCCCAGTGTCAGCAGAGCCTGGCCCAGGCCATGACGGAGGTGGAGACCGTGCTCGGGCTGCTGGAGGCCGCGGGCGCGCTCAGCCCCGGCGAGCGGCGGCAGCTGGACGAGGAGGCGGGCGGCGCCAAGGCGGAGCTGCTGCTCAAGCTGCTCCTGGCCAAGGAGCGGGACCACTTCCAGGACCTGCGGGCGGCGCTGGAGAAGACGCAGCCTCACCTGCTGCCCATTCTCTACCTGAACGGCGTCGTCGGGCCGCCGCAGCCCGCCGAGGGCGCCGGTGAGTGTCGGACCCTCGCCCGGCCCCGCGGACCGGCCCTCCACCGCTTCCCTGCCCTGCTCGCCACGGGGGATGTCGCCGGGCCACTGCTCTACCTGGCGGTGGCCGCGGGTTGAACTTTCCCTCCCTTTAGCCCATCGGGGGAGGCGGCGATGCGTGGACCCCTAATCCACGCCACCCCCGCTCCGTCCCGCCGTCCCGGGTGAACAATGCCCCCCACTGCGGGCCTTCGCCCTCCTAGCTGCCTTCTCCGCTGGGTCCTCCGGAGGCCACCAGGTCCAGTCACAGGGCTGGGAGGTGCCTCTCAGGGATGTCCGCCAGTCCCTTTTAATAGGGCTCCTCACCATGCACCAGTCCTTTGGGAGCCTGTGCCAGCCTTTAACCAAGGTACAGTCTAGAAGACTGGAACCTGGGCCAGGAATAGTACTCCCAAATTTTGGTCCCTGCCTCCCGGTTTCGGGACCACTGGTGCCTTTTCACTTTCTGACTGTCCCAGCTCTCTTCCGTGTGCACAGAGCTCAGTCTCTTAGCTCGCCCAGACTTGCGGTTGATTATGCACAGTGCCTGCCTAGGTTTCTTTGGAAACTGTGGGCCCGGAAAAGTTGGGGAAGTTGCATTGCACCATGGGAAAATCCTAGTAGTAGCTGCTGGGCTCAGTTCCCTCCCTGAGAGCGCGGAGCTGCCTGAGGAGGAAGGCCGGTGGAAGGTTCCCTTGGTGGTGCCTTTTGGAACCCCTGTGTTCTTGGTCTTGGAGGTGACTGATTCGCTATGTGGGAGCAAGTACTGGTGGGAATTTGTGACAAGTGGTAGGTTTGCCCTGCCTGGATGGGGACTGCGGAAGCCCAACTTTTAGGCAGGGTAGCTGGAGGAAGAAGGCATAGCACAGAGAAAGGATGAAAACTAGCATTTGTGGGGCACCACTACTACTATTGTGGCAGACTCACTGCTTTATCACATTTAATTGTTACCTGCTGATAGGCTAGGACCATGGGGTGGGGGAAAGGGCAACATTATTGTTAATGCTTTGTGAGCTATCTATTACTATTACTTTGCCAGGGAGAAAACTCTGGCTTGGAGTGGTTAAATTGCTTAGAAACTGTTTGGCACCAGGAGTTTTGAGTTATGACCTATTGTTTTATTTAACACATTCAGAGCCAAGAGACAGAAAGTACCATCTTTCAGGTCTTGTCCTTGTTTTAAGAATGTACCGATACATACAATAGAAATAAATAAAGATGCATATATAAAAGGAAGAAAGGGTGAATCCAGAGGGCTGAGAAACTGCCCTTAGCAACTTGTAGGCCAGAGGCTGACAGGACCCTTTTATTTGGCTATTAAAAGCCTCACTTATTAAGGAGATGATTTTATAAGGTGTTCCTGGTAAGAGCTCACATGTATGTTGGCCGTTTCCAACTCACTTGTTATAGCTGAAGGAATCCGATGTATAGAGAGACTAAACTGCTGGCCACATGGCAGGTCATTTCATTGGCGGCCCCTCTATCTCCACTTTGGGCTTCTGACTCTCTTGCATCTCTGTCCCTCAAACTTGCATTCCGTCCCCCCAGCTGTGGTCATATCAGAGTTGCTGGGCAAACCCAGTCCTTTCCTGGGATAGTGCTTTGGGAGATGCTAAGAAGGGGGCTGTCAGATGTGGCCATGAGGACAAGGACAGAGTGGGATCTCATCAAGGTAATTTTTTCCTTTTCAATTGCTTCTATTTTCGGAGGAAGTTTATCAGAGATTTGTTTCCAGAAGTCTTTCCAAGGAAGCACGGATGTTAGAGTGCAGATTGTAAGTCCTCTTTTGGATGTGTATGAATCAGCACTAGTTTTAATCTCTGGAATAGATTAATTAATGGATGAATTACGATTAATTAGGACCAGCCGTTTCGGTGCCTGCTGCAGAAGGTGGTGCCTTTTGGGGCTGAAGTTCCGGGAGCCAGTCCTGACCTCTGAGGGAGGGAGAGAGTAGGGTTTGGATTGTATCCCCCAGGGCAGTGATTTCAGGCTCCAGTTTTACCACAATGCAGAGTTCCGTGGTTTCAAAGAGGGTCATGAAATCCTTAGAAAAATAATTTTCAAGGGGCAGTTAAGTTCATTGTATTTAATACGTTAGAAAAAAGTTAGAATAGCATTTGGTATGGCAAGATGCCACTTGGAGCTCCTAGGGGAGAGGGTGACTTGGTGTGTCAGTAAACAATGGCATGTTGAGTTTTTGTAAAGGATGAATGACTGTGCAGTAGTTCACCAACTTTTTTTTGTTTGTTTTAGCCAGGAGGCCTTTCTTTGGGGGCAAATCTCAGTGTTGGAGATTATTGCTCTGGTTGAAGGGATGGAGGCACCAGTCTTGTCCCCGAGAAGCCAAAGTCGGGGAAACCCAGCACTTGGTCCTGCCTCCTTCCGCTCCCTAGCGATTTTCATTCTGCGCTTAGGCTGGCAACTCTGCATGTGAGTTGGCCTCAATTTGAGGCCCTTGTGGAGCCTGAGAGAGGAATCAGCTGGCTTCTCTAGGATCTATAGCAGTTGTCCTCCAACTATGGCCCGTGGGCCACATGTGGCCTGCCGGGTGTTTTTGCCGCTGCTGCCTGTCCTGCTTAGCAGCCGAATGGTCCCGGGCCCACGGTGCGCATGTGTGGAATGTGCGCCGCACTCTCCAACCACCCTCCAGTGGTCTGAGGGACAGCGAACTGGCCCCCTGTTTAAAACGTTTGAGGACCCCTGATCCATAGCATCAGGGGGAGGCCGCTTTGTCACTGTCTCTCTATGTTGGAGGTGATGCCATCACCCACTTATGGACTTTTTTTTTTTTCTCTGTCTATATTCCTTTATTTTATTTTGTTATTTGTACAAATTTATGGGGTAAATGTGCAATTTTATTAATGCAGAAATCACATAGTGGTCAAGTCAGGGCTTTTAGAGTATCCATCAGTTGGATAACATACATTGTCCCAATAATTAATTTCTCATCATCCACCTCCTCCCATACTCCCACCCCCTCTCCCTTTCAAGTCTTCATATCTATCAGTCCACTCTCTACATCCATGTGTACCCATTTTTTAGCACTCACTTATCAGTGAGAACATGTGATATTTGACTTTCTGTGCCTGGCTAGTTTTATTTAAGATAATGACCTCTGGTTCCAACCATGTTGCTGCAAAAGACATTATTTCTATTTTTTTTTAATGGATACATGACACTTATGGACTTTATTGGTGGATTCCACATCCTGCCTGGACTCCTGGTCCAGAATGCCCATCGCCTGCTGGCACTTGGACACCATGGGAGTCTGGTGCCAGGCGAATGGTGTCTGGCAGCCCACCATGTGGGGCCTGGAAGCAGAAGGAAACTGGGGAGGGCATGTGCCAGTGTGTTGGCAGGCAGGTGAGTGAACCAAGCCCATCTGGGCAACTCGTGCTCAGTTAGATCCCCAGACATTTATAACCCACCCGTTCAGGCCTGGGGCCAATGGAGGCGACTAAGAAACATAAGGTGTCGTTTCTTGGGGGCAGTTGCTCCTATTCTAGCATTGATAATGCATTGCAGTTCAGCATCTTGTATCCGTTCAGCATTTGTATTTTCACATGTAACTGATCCGGGGAGCCGTGAGTGGTGTCTGATTGTCATTTCACTGGGTTCCAGGCCCTGTCTGTAAGGTGTGCGGAAGAAATTGTGACTCACCCCAGTGCTCCTGATACCTTGTCTAGGGGTGTTTTTTCCTCTTACCTGATTAGGCCTTTACAGTACAATTTCAGGGCATTTCCTGTCATTGGGGAACTCTGGAATTAGGTATCCTTTTCTTGTCCCTGGTATGACACGTGGTTCTGTGGGGAAGAAGTGAACATCTTTGCCCCCAGCTGGTGGTAGCGAGAGGAGAGAATTACTGTTCCCTTCTTCTTCTTTTTTGTTTTTTTTTTTGAGACAGAGTCTGGCTTTGTTGCCCAGGATAGAGTGAGTGCCGTGGCATCAGCCTAGCTCACAGCAACCTCAAACTCCTGGGCTCAAGCAATCCTGCTGCCTCAGCCTCCCAAGTAGCTAGGACTACAGGCATGTGCCACCATGTCTGGCTAATTTTTTCTATATGTGTTAGTTGGCCAATTAATTTCTTTCTATTTATAGTAGAGACAGGGTCTCGATCTTGCTTAGGCTGGTTTCGAACTCCTGACCTTGAGCAATCCGCCCGCCTCGTGCTAGGATTACAGGAGTGAGCCATCGCGCCCGGCCTACTGTTCCCTTCTGAGTGGCTCAGGTCTCTCGTGTGTTTCCCAGTTGTATCACAGTCTAGTTTGGTCCCTGGAACTCCATGCAGTCCTTTGTTTTTTCTCTTTGATTCAGTCATCTGTAAGATGGGGCTAAGGGTGCTATGCCGCCTGCCTCTGTTGCTGGGACGCAGACGTGTTAGGGGCGGATTGAAGCGGCTGTTCTTGTGCTTGGCCCAGGTGGGGCTTGGGTGCAGAGAGAGGCAGGGGTGCATAGGGTGTAATTCCAGCCTGCAGCTTGCCACTCCTTGGGGGAATGGGACACTCATGAGAGTGACATGAGATTGATGCCTTGAGTGATATAGATAGACAAACAGGTTTTTTTCCCTCTTTTTAAAATGCTGTGTAATACATACTATCCCCAAATACTCTCATCCACCTCTAGTGGCTCTAATTACCCTCTAAATGTGGAGGGCTCCCCAAGTCATTTCACGCCAGGCCTCTCTTGGGAGGCAGAAGTGGCAAAACTCAGGGATTGCCCGCCAGACCTCTCTACTGGCCTGCTCAGCGCTGAATGTTTCCTTCCTGTCGTCCCCACCTCGCCCCCCCAGTCCTCCCGTGGTGCCTCCTCTTGAGTTCCCTAGTGAGCCTGGTGACTGGTATTCACCGAGCTTGAGGATGGAGATGGCAGCATCTGCTGGAGAGGCCCAGGGAGGCTTCGCGGTGGGCGGGACTTGGTGTGGAAGCAGCTCAAAGGCACAGGGGGAGGGAGGGGCTGCCTGGGCGTGAGGCGCAGCAGGAGCGG